AGCAACAGTTGTTATTTTGCTAGAGGCCATAGGTATTAGGTATTAAATACCACACAGATACCGCTATAAGATAAAGTTGTACTGTTGAGAGTTCATTAAATACCACACAGATACCACTATAAGATAAAGTTGTACTGTTGAGAGAAGCCATTTTATTGTACCCTAGGATTATGCATATAATAAGTATGAATAGAGCGATATGTGTACTTTGTGCCGTTTACTGTCTTTATTGTTAGGTGCGTCTTCTGTAGCACTGTACTGAAACTATTAAAAATCAAGTAATAATGGTACAAACTTGTTACTTCATCGTGCTGTAGGTGACACATGTTTTGTTGTAGGTTACACATGTTTTGTAGGTTACACATGTTTTGTTGTGTAAGGGATCATTCATATTACGATAATTACTCTTTCGTAGTTAATTATTAAGCAGTTAGTAGTAGACTATTTTGTATTATTACTATTAGATCTAGTTATACATGACTTTATATCATATTTTATTGATCTGAGGTATTGCCAGATCCCAGTTAAATTTGTAAAATCTGCACAATAGCTATATCATAGCTGTATACTGTATAGTGTATAGTGTATAGTATATTAAGTGGCTAATAATTCCCATAATCTGGCGAGTGTAATATGTGAACACGTACCGTATTTCTATGATGTACCTGGTACAATATATCTGGTGCAAAATGCCCTGATCACATTCAGTTGCACTGCATTATTTAATTGGTGGCTCATTTTTGCTAGACCATGTTATCGCTCTACCGATATTCCGAGCTCGTTATATTTGCCGGTTCATTTCGTTATTGCTGATTAGTTTTTATTATCAATTATTACCCACTGAAAACCTACCCCGGGGATTGGAAAGACTTGCCAAATATTTTCTGAGCAACCTAACCAGCCTTTATATAATCAGGTTATTGTAGTACATGTGTAATCATGTTCGTTCTACTAATTAGAAAATTAGAGGGACTACTGTTGCAGATAAATTGGTCTTTTAGCAGTCCCTGCAGAATCTTATCTTTTAGTGCCGCCTGCTCCTGAGAAAATGTAATTGTTCGTTTAATTGAGTTAATTTGATGCCACAGAGCACTTGCTCATGCAGATTGCAGATTGTGTGTATTTAGCTTTGGTGACAAAGAAACTGACAAAATATGCTCCGTGGATGTGCGAGTTGAGTTTTACGCGACGTTGCCTGCTGCTTATTTTTGGAAACATTTTACAAATGTTATTTATATATCTCGCAACAACTTGTTCAGTGTTCAGTTAACATTACTTGAAATTTGTTTCATATGGTTTTATCAGTTTATTTTATCAGTTTATTTTCTACCATCAAAATTGGCAGCGAAACATATTCATGTCTAAATATTTTCCAAGTGCAATGTAATGAAAGAGAAGTTGTGAACTGAATTAGTCCAATATTTCGATGAGCCGAATTTGTATTTTAATCTTCCTGACATCTTTCCTCGTCCAAAACAGCTCACAAGGTACGTCTTTACAATTTAAGTTGGAGAAAAAACGTTTGATCTGAACGTTTTTTAGTCGACAAGCTACCTCAGCCTGAAAATGAGTTGGCGAGAGTCTGATTGTTGTGATTAATAGTCTGATCGTTCTGATTAATAGTCTGATCGTTCTGATTAATAGTCTGATCGTTCTGATTAATAGTCTGATCGTTCTGATTAATAGTCTGATCGTTCTGATTAATAGTCTGATCGTTCTGATTAATAGTCTGATCGTTCTGATTAATAGTCTGATCGTTCTGATTAATAGTCTGATCGTTCTGATTAATAGTCTGATCGTTCTGATTAATAGTCTGATCGTTCTGATTAATAGTCTGATCGTTCTGATTAATAGTCTGATCGTTCTGATTAATAGTCTGATCGTTCTGATTAATAGTCTGATCGTTCTGATTAATAGTCTGATCGTTCTGATTAATAGTCTGATCGTTCTGATTAATAGTCTGATCGTTCTGATTAATAGTCTGATCGTTCTGATTAATAGTCTGATCGTTCTGATTAATAGTCTGATCGTTCTGATTAATAGTCTGATCGTTCTGATTAATAGTCTGATCGTTCTGATTAATAGTCTGATCGTTCTGATTAATAGTCTGATCGTTGTGATTAATAGTCTGATCGTTCTGATTAATAGTCTGATCGTTGTGATTAATAGTCTGATCGTTCTGATTAATAGTCTGATCGTTCTGATTAATAGTCTGATCGTTCTGATTAATAGTCAGATCGTTCTGATTAATAGTCTGATCGTTCTGATTAATAGTCTGATCGTTCTGATTAATAGTCAGATCGTTCTGATTAATAGTCTGATCGTTCTGATTAATAGTCTGATCGTTCTGATTAATAGTCAGATCGTTCTGATTAATAGTCTGATCGTTCTGATTAATAGTCTGATCGTTCTGATTAATAGTCAGATCGTTCTGATTAATAGTCTGATCGTTCTGATTAATAGTCAGATCGTTCTGATTAATAGTCTGATCGTTCTGATTAATAGTCAGATCGTTCTGATTAATAGTCTGGCCTAACTATTTTCTTTCTATCCTTCATCCTCCAGCTCATTACCTGCTTCCCATTTTAACCACAGCTGCATCAAACGAGAAACTTAAAACAGTTCAATTTCACAGTACATATCAATAAGTCATACTCTACTTTAAATCTTTTGGTTGATTGAACATTTGGTTGATTTGACGTTATTGATTTATCATCTTGCGATTTTAATTCATCTTACTACAGGGTGAGTTGAAAATAGTGTGTGGAAAGTAAATGGCTCTAATTTTTTTAACAAATGAAATTTCCACTTAATTTTTGCATATTTAGGTAATGAAAATATATAAATATTATAATAATACAATAAAAATACTTAATAATTAATAATTTGCTCAACCCATCGTCCTTTATTAGCTAGGACATGTTGATAACGTGTAAGAGAATTGTCTATAGCCGACTTGACTGTATTAAGGGGGCAGGGGGGTCTTCATGGAAATGTTCTCAAAATCGACTTTTTAGTAGTTTCTGATAGAGGGGAGTAATATCTATCAGATGCTTTTGATCCCATGGAAAAATATCGTTCCTAGCCGAAATTAATGCCGGTCAAAGGTCAGCGCGTGTGTGGTTATTGTATTGCGCGAGCGATTTTTGATCGCGTGCCCTGAAAATCGAGTCTAAAAATCTATCTCCTCCTACATTTTTTGAGCAATCACCCTGAAACTTTCAGGATATGTTCAAGGGATCATTTAAAAGAGATGAGCCTGACAGAATTTTGAGATAGGCCTTTAAAAAAATTTTTATTCGATTTTTAAAATCTTGGACCTCGTTTTTTTATGGTTTTTCGAGGTCTACGATTTTCAAAATCGAATGAAATTTTTTTAAAGGCCTCTCTCAAAATTCTGTCTGGCTCATCTCTTCTAAATGGTCCCTAGAACATATCCTGAAAGTTTCAGGGTGATTGCTCAAAAAATGTAGGAGGAGATGGATTTTTAGACTCGATTTTCAGGGCACGCGATTTGAGAACCCCATTAGGACGAATTTACGAATTTTTGGAAAACTGCCAAAAATCAACCAAATTATGAGTTAGAATCAAATGAGAGGCAAGAATGAAATTTGTAACGTTGATGAACTGATAGCAGTTCACCTTTTTACTTTCCACACACTATTTTCAACTCACCCTGTATATATAAAGCGAGACGATATAATATGTGCCCATCCTTGGAGAACCCGGTAAATGTCCTTGCTGTACGGCAGTGTTAAACAAGGAACTGAAACCGAGGGGTTCCGTTCAGGCCCTTCACACTTTGTTTCTGTCTAGTTCTAATGTACCGGCACAATAGTGACTTTAATATATAATCAAAAGTACTAGCCTGATGATTTATCGCGGCTGTTCTCATCTGAAACTATGCTTGGTGTAGCTCGTTGGGATAGTATAAGAATTCTGGTTCCTATAGTTGGGAATGAGGTAGTTGTCTGTTCACAGATCGCCCTCTAACCTTACAAGGAAATATTTCCTGTAGATCCTTGGTATATAACCAACATTTGACAGAGCATAGTGTGGAGTGAGCTATGTGCCCATCCTTGGAGAACCCGGTGAATGTCCTTGCTGTACGGCAGTGTTAAACAAGGAACTGAAACCGAGGGGTTCCGTTCAGGCCCTTCACAGTTTGTTTCTGTTTAGTTCTAATGTACCGTCACAATAGTGACTTTAATATATTATATTATAATATATGGATCCGTGCCATTTTACTGACACCACGGCATCAACTTTAACGCGACTTTCCGCAAAAACCGTAAAAGATATACAACTTAAACTTTTTTGACTGGTTCAAATGCTTTTATGCTTTTCAAATCAGCATGAAAAAATAAAAAATCGGCCATGAAATAAGACATTTAGTGCCCAAAATTTGAATCCCTAAGCGATTTAAATAGGTAATAATTATTTTAGTCTCTTGAGTCTTGACACCACTTTAGGGTTATACGGGTTCCTGCTAGTATGTATAATGTATATAGTATATAGTATACAATATATTATATACATCTCCCGTCTGTGATACCTAGAAACCAATCGGGTTCCTAGCGGAGTCGGCTCGTGTAACCTGACTGGCAGTTTACCAGAACCTCCTATACTACTAGAGTACCTATACTGATTAATAAATCAGTAAATGGTCCATTCTGGAACTCTAGTCTGTCATGAGTACAATTTGAACTTTGAGATCCTGCATTTCCACGTTATATTACATAAAACCTGGTACTTATAAATAAGTAAAATAAGTAAAATAAGTAAAATAAGTAAAATAAGTAAAATAAGTAAAATAAGTAAAATAAGTAAAATAAGTAAAATAAGTAAAATAAGTAAAATAAGTAAAATAAGTAAAATAAGTAAAATAAGTAAAATAAGTAAAATAAATAAAATAAGTAAAATAAGTAAAATAAGTAAAATACGTAAAATAAGTAAAATAAGTAAAATGTACGTTATAACAATATAATATTTGATCGCAGAGGATAAAGCGGACTGCACGTCTGGACAGTTTTACGATCAAGACACCAAGAACTGTACAATATGTGAGTTTACCTCCGGTACCCTTTACAGTGAAGACGGTGCTGAAGAATGTATACTATGTCCTAATAATGGTGCTAATTGCAGTGAGTCCAGAACATCGCTATTCTTATTTTCATTTCCAATACTGTGATTTGATAGCATTGACGACATTATCAGTTCATCACATCATTGTTATTTAGACTTTATATTAAATCATGATTTATCCCTCTGAATTCTTTGAAACGAATAATTTACAGTGCATCTGGTTTGATTCAAAACTTTCATAAAATAATGCAGAAATACACAAAATAGAAACTTGAATAAAACAAAATGGCGACAAATAAAAGAATTTTTAAGCCTTTTGAAGATTGGCAATCAATATATTTTATTTGAATCTTAAAATTGGATTCTTTATAGTTTATACATAGTTCTTTTCACACTACTGAGTAATAGTATAAGTAGTGTTGTAAACACCGTTTATTATTATTAAAATAAAAAACAACTCCCACACCTTCAGGATATAAATAATTGTATTAAAAAGTTAAAAGTATATATTGACCCTTATATTTTCCAGTTTGTGATACGACTAGCCCGGTGCACTACCTGCCAGAAGGACGAAATATCAGCAAACTAGAGAAGTTCTGTTTTACTGAAGATGACCAGCTCATCTGCTCCCGGGATTGTTACATTCAGTCACGACACGCTCTTAAGGTAACTTCCTGATCACTGATCAGCTCTCTCTCTCTCTCTCTCTCTCTCTCTCTCTCTCTCTCTCTCTCTCTCTCTCTCTCTCTCTCTCTCTCTCTCTCTCTCTCTCTCTCTCTCTCTCTCTCTCTCTCTCTCTCTCTCTCTCTCTCTCTCTCTCTCTCTCTCTCTCTCTCTCTCTCTCTATCTATCTCTCTCTCTCTCTCTCTCTCTCTCTCTCTCTCTCTCTCTCTCTCTCTCTCTCTCTCTCTCTCTCTTCTCTCTCTCTCTCTCTCTCTCTCTCTCTCTCTCTCTCTCTCTCTCTCTCTCTCTCTCTCTCTCTCTTCCTGTCCCTCCCCCTTATATTCAATAACCAATAACCATGGTCCATATTTATTCCCCCAATATCCAGATGCTTTTTTCGTGAATCTTTTCGGCTCTTCAAATCATAAATACACATTCTTATGGCGACGATATGCTTTCAGGGCTGTGATATCAACTGTGATGAAGAACTAAACATTTTAGACTGCAATTGTGATAATAACATAAGAACAAAGGAGTCATGTTTGAAAAGGAAAAACTTTACAAAAGTGTGTTTTCAAAATGGTTAGATTCCGTCAATCACTCAAAATTTGAGTTTTGTCTATTCTGAAGTTTACTATGGCATGTAAAGGTATTTGAACAAAATTTCAAAACTTTAAATTCTAAAACTTTGAATGTTAAAACAAATAACACCGATATCTTTCCCACCACGCAGAATGTGATGGACCGAGATACTACGACGAGGTTCTGGGTCCGGAGCTACTGGCAACCCTCGCCTCCTGCTACACACAGTACATGGCTAATAACACGTGCAGTAAATCAGAGTGCGCGCAGGTGCTCTCCGCTTATCTTCCTGATCTGCAGACGTGCAATTGTTATCATACCTATACTTTTAAAAACCAAGTTTCCGACGGGACTGCGGACTGTGAAGGTTATTTATTTATTTAATTAATTAATTAAATTTTGGTGAATAATGTCATCAAATTTAAACAGGTTAGGTATTAACCTTGATTAATGGGTTTGATGTCCATTTGATGTTTTATTTAATTTGTACGCCACGAAATTATTAAAAGCCTAACTTCTTATCAGGTCGAAGAGATTTCTTCATCCAGATGGAGAATTTGTGCACAGACGAACCTTCTCATACCAGTCTCACTCTTATCATAATAATAATCATGGTGGGAGTATTCTTAACAATTGGTAGTCTGTTACTCGGACGATGGTCTGCGGTTAATTATGCAAGGAAGCGTGAGTTTAATTTCCAAGTGATTATTACAATTTATCAGGCGCGGTCAATCGAGGTTTTAATGTACATACAATTTTTACAATTTGAATCAGACTAAGAATTTCTTTGCCATTTGCTATAATACTTACATAACAGGGTTATTTGACAAGACAGGGTTTGAAAATTTTGGCATTGGCAACATGATTTGATTTGAAACTTTTACAAAATAGCAAGTATACAAATGTACAGCAATTCGAACAAACATATAAAATGGGCCGAAATGTATAAATGCTAAAAAGCGTGGGTCAGTGAAACAAGTACAGAGGACAACTTTCAGAACAGGAGTTTTTTGGCCGCCCAAAGTCTCAATAACATCACCTCCACCTAGTAATAAAATTATGAAACGTGAAAAGTGTGAAACAATCAAATAATAATGTATTTATATAATATAATTGTCTCTCAAATACAGATAACGTCCGTAAACTCTTAAAATACTCCTACAAGTACATATTATACTGATCGGTGTCCGAGAAACATGAATTACGTCATCATGGTGCCTTCTTAACCCGGCTACAGACCTTCCCGTTACGGATGTAGTGGTCGAGATGAGTCTCTTCAGCCCTCTTCTTCTTCAGGTCAGTTACCACGTTCTTCCTTGCTGCACGCTCTTCACTGGATCTATCAGGACAGATCCATACATCTTTGTGTGCATCAGCCATCCTCAGTCTCCCTGTTTTCATCAGAATCTGATGAACTGCTGTTGAGCTTGGGACGGTGATCTTGACTGGTCGGATAGCCGTGATACCTGGCCTCTTCCAGCCGACTCTAGTCGCTTCAAAATGAGGTTTCTCCCCGATCTCCTCCAATACTGCGGTAACCAGAGCTGGAAGCTGTTCTCCATCCTCTTCTTTCAGTCCAAACACTATCAGATTCTTGCTCCTGTCCTCCTCTGCAGCCACACTCTTCATTACATTCTTCAGAATTTTACTGTTGCAGACCGCGCCATTTGTGCTGTTCTTTTGTACAGCGGCACTGTAGCTCTTAATCCCTGTCTCCACCGTTGTTTGTACTGTCTCTTCAACTGACGTCTTAAACAACTGTAGTTGTTCGTCCTTCTGCACTAGGAACTGGTCCTGCAACCTGACTATCTTTTCCTTGTCTGCTAGTGCTTCCGTCTTGAGGCACTCAACGATTTCCATCATAGCGCTCATCTGACTACTCTGCCGTCGTACGAGGTCTGCTGCTTGCATAACCCAGTTTGCCATATACCTTTTATAGATAGACGGAGACATGAGTATTTCTTGGTCCATATCTCCACGAATTTCGAAGTTTTCTAATTTCAGTAGACTTGCCATCGAAGTGAACCATCTATCTGCACAGCCCTCTACATCTTCCTTTTCTTCATAGTTGAAATCCTTGAGTTTCTTCTGAGATCGGGTCAAATGTAAATCATCCTCCGTGGTGTACATTGTATAGTAATGTACAAGTATACACACGCAAAGGCTTACTACGCGGTAGCAGCAAACTGACATCTCTAATTCTTAAACTTCTTGACATCTCTAATTCTTAAACTTCTATCTGCTCAGTGAAGAAAAGCGGAAAAATCGGCAAGATAATCCGATTTGTTGACTGGCAAAATATAACTCCCCTGGGAGCAGCTGGGTTAGTGTACGAACAGGAAATCAATAAATGTTCAAATAAAAAGTTCAACGCGGACATGTTACACAACAAAGAGGTATATTTCTTTATATTTATAAATTATTATTCTCTATAATATTATATTAATACTAGATAGCTATTAGGAAGCTAATAGTATTTTTTGATAGTAAGTTTTTATCGCATCAAAAAATATCCGTCACAACCGAAGATACAGCCGAATTAAAACACGTTAAACATTTAAAATGCAACCTTTTGCTTTTTACCTAATTTGCACGTGGGCGGTCGTACATACATTCTACAGACAGACAGAAATAATTCTTTGAATTATAATAATGACTAGAAAACCCGTGGTCACAGGAAGGAAGCTAATAGTATTTTAGTATATTCACACTGTAGGTCACGATTGTGAGCATATGTATTTGATATTACTTTAGAGCTCTGCAAGAGATCTGGTTCTTTCAACTTAATTTATTTCTAAGAAAACAAGATCAATTCTGTTTTATAAATTCATAAAACAGAATTGATCTTGTTTTCTTAGAAGTAATAAAGTTGAATTTTATTACGTTTAAAGATAAGGCCATCGGTCCCTTTTTAGTTCCCGGATTCATAAAACGCTTAATTCTGTTTCACGTAACTTGAGTCAATAATCATGTCATCATGAGGTGCTCCGTTATGAATACTGCTGATAAACGGATATTAAATATCACAATTGTGGAAAGTAGGACCTTCTCCATTTGTATTGTCTCGATTTCACTTGTAGTTTGTCCGGTTTTAAGACCTCAGAAATTGTCTGACCTTTACTCTGATAATGCTTCTAGAATAATACTCAGCTATGACTCTACTTGATTAGGGAACTTTACGCTGATTGGATTTGAAGGGTGTCACAAGAGAGAGAAACTGGATAATTATAGTTATTATATAATTTTAAAAATATAGCTGTGATCGTTCTATATGATACTTGATATACTTGTATAAGCCGTTACAGTATCAGAATGTAAGACGTATTTCAGAGCATGTTCACTATGATAAAATGATTGTGAAAGTGAACTTAAAATAACCTAACTAGACCAACATTACTAGGTTGTGGCATGGTGATGGAGAGAATTACTCCTTTAACGTCAGCAGAAGTCTCAGAAAATTCATCCATATTCAAGACCCATCTGAGTTTCATTGAGAAAAATTGGCTTAAAATGGTCGATAATGTAATCGTAGATACTTATCAATCTTCAACCAACCATATCTTCTCTGGCATCCTTCACCTTAATTCTGATAAGCAAGTTAGTAGCTGTGACTTCCTCATCGACGATGAGGCATCCTTGGAAGAGATTGATGATTTCTTAGAGAAGGTCCTTGATGACAATACTATTACAAATCTCGCTTGGTTATTCACAACCAATTTACAGTCAAAGCATTTTGATTATGTACTCAAAAAGTTTAAGCAAAGATTTGATGGCAAACATAGTGAAAATCCCCTTCGATTTGATCACAATATGTTCATTTCACCAACTTCAAAACCCGAGGAAATTACTGTGCCACAAGGCTATATGCTTGGTCCATTGCTAGAGGCTCATGCTGATGTCATGACGACCCAGTGGGCTCTGGATATTGGTTTCAATAAGGATTTTAATCTTAAACCTATTGTATTGGCGAACATAACGGAGAGACCATGCTTTGGTATTTTCACAGAAAGTGATCCAACTACACCGATTGGTTGGATGTGTCTTTACTCTGGTGGTAGTATCGGAATGTTACATGTAAAGGAGGCCCACAGAGGTAGAGGGCTAGCTAGAATCCTCGTTAGGAATACTCTGAAGAGAGTTCAGGAAACCCACGGAATGGAATGTCGGTTACATGCTTGTGTGAAGAAGGGGAATGCTGCGTCCATGGGTTTGTTGTTGTCAGAGGGGTGGCAACTTCAACCTTTTAACTACAAAAAAATGTTCTTTCGTAATAGTTGATGAGTGGTCTTCCTCCGCAATAGTTTTTACGATTACTAGATATATTGGGATCTTAAACGAGACATTCTTAAAGACTGTGCTGTTACTCCCTTTTACATTCTAGATGAATATCTTCATACTTTATATTTTCTAAGTTGTTCTTGTTGCTGAATGTCATATGATGCGAATAAATGGATCTGAGGGTATGTCCGAGACATTTTGCCATTCCATGTTGTTATAAAGTATGTGTTAAGAGTTTTTTCGATTGCTGTTATACTTAAAAAGTTCTGAATTAGTCAGTTTGTTAGTATCGATCATAAGTTTATAATTAGTTTTTTATTATTAATCTTTGTTTTCTTTGTGTTCCATTATTTCTGGTGGGAACGCTTTGAAACAAGTCTATATTATGGTATGGCCACTCTTGATATAGATAAAACCACTCTAACTTTTCTTCGCAAAAAAATTGGATGGAAAAAATTTCTGTGAAATCATCTATGACTAGACCTACGGAGTCAATTTTTGATATTTATGGCACATTTGTGGCACATTTGTGGAACGCCCCCATTTTTGCCCCAATTTGTGGCACGCTTGCCGTCATCTATGTCTGACTGTTTTAGAGTAGTTGGGTGTATGTGTTTGTCATATAATTATTACTAATTACAGTAGTTACTATGAAGGTAGACCAATAATATTAGGTCGTAATTTAAACCATCTTAAAACGTTTTAGGCCCCTATCTATATCTGACCTAATACTAAATACTTGCTAAATTCCTAATAATTGATTTCAATCATAGTTTTTAATAGTTAAAGTCATAATAAATTAGGCTATGGTAGAATAAAACTGGTAGGTAATTGGTAAAAGGTAAATTACAAGATGGGGGCAGAGCCACAAAAACCGAGAATGCACATGTTTTTGGTACTTTTATCGCGGGCGCGGAGTAATATTAGATGATGTTGATAGCGCGCGTGATAAAACCTTAAACCATGTGGTATATTATGTACGTATGTACCGCGTATGATATGTACGTATGTATGATGTATTTATTAATTCTTTTAATTTGAAGGATCCATATTTCTGCACAACTCGATTAGCAAGTCGATAATGTATCGATCGACCAATTATTTGTCTTAAATAATTAGTTAATCTGTTAAAATAATGCTGCTCAACGTTTTTCAGATTCTCCTGCGGGTTCAATTCAGTTTGTTAGGAGGTTTTGGTATCCAGTCCCAGCATGTCGTGCTGAAGATTTTCTCAGAATCACAGTCAGAACAGCAAGGAATTGAACTTGGAATATTTAACTCAATATCTAATAAAGAGAAGTGAGTTTACTCTTCGCAAATTATTTTTATTGTGATTATGAGTTAACTAAAAAAGCTTGGTCACTACAGTTCCAAGGTATTTAATATTTATCCAAACAACTGATTGGGTAACTTTGAAGTCTACCACTACTTTTTTTGTAACTTGTTGGTATGCACTTATTTGCAAACTTAGAGATGAGATACAGTTATAGTACACTCATCTCATTTTAACATTGGAGTTTGGACCTAGAATGAAATCCCAAAAATTTTCCTTCTCTTCCCAAATAATGGGTAAAATCGTCAGAGGGGACCGGGACTTTGGGCTTGATACGAAAAACGCTTTTTCCCGAAAGTTGAAATTTAATCTCACTTCCCAAGTAGCTTTGTTTCACTCCTCGTGCTAGAATATATAGAAACGCGAAACATCCTTGGCACGATACGATTTTTTTTCCTTCAATTATTCGTTCAGAAACAATCTTGAAAATATCTTATCTTGAATTTTCGAGATTTATCCGCTGAATACTAACCATTTATGTTTGCCAGGGCTAACAAAAGCAACATAATAGCAGTTTATGGTCCGCCAATGAACGTGGACAATTCCGACCTGATAAGATTTTTAGAAACTCTTATTGAAAAATCCAAGACTTGCGCAGCCTTAAAAGATGTGATTGAAAGGAATTATATTGGTTGTACTGGAGGTATTCGTGATAAAATAGAAACTCCTCGATGCAAGTAAGCGTACTGTTAAAGGAAATTAATTTCATTTTAATATCAGGAGTCAGGAATGTTACTATCTGTTAATCTGAAATTTACGCATCAGAATTGCTGATATTTCTCTTTTAATAAAATAACCTGACAGTGATTTCTAATGCTACTCCCAGGTATATCATGATGAACCACTGTAACGAATTATCTCTCACCGAGTTTATTAAAACACGACGTCTCACTCTTGACTTAGCGAAAGATCTCGCCAAAGATCTCGCTAAAGCTCTGGAGTACCTACATGAGGTGAGGATTTGTCGAGATGAAGATAAAAAACTGAAATAAAACTTTTTTAGGATGTGTTAAACAGGCGAATCTTATCGTTGATAAACTTAATCAAGATTTATCACAAGGTACCACCTGACAGATTATGGTCTCGATTCATTTCTGAATCCCCATAATTGACAATTTGCTCACAAAATTTTGTAATTTCAGGTAAACGAGCCGACTATAGTACATTGTGATGTTAAACCAGACAATATTTTTGTAAAGAGCCGCAAAACGACATCATTCATTCTCGGAGACTTTGGTTTTGCGGAAAGGTATGAAAATCAGACATTTACCCTAAGAGGTAGCACGCCCAGTTACGTCCCTCCAGAATGGTATTTGGGGCATTTGGACACTAAAATTAGCGATACTGCAGACCCACTCGAGCTTCAGCTACGAAATGATCGCGTTTCTGAACTCCAAAAGAGACTTTTTAGAGAACGCAGTGACAGACCCTGCAAAATAGACATTTACTCTTACGGGCTGATCATCTGGTTGTCACTACACAATAAAACTGAACCGTGGACTGAGGAATCTTCCATTGACTGGAAACAGTACCTTCATGATCATAATCAAAATCAAAACAACCACAGAAACAGAACCTCGAAAGAGGTATTTCTCAGAGACCTATTTAACGATCCTGATAAGTTTGAAACCAGACCAACATGTCGAGAAGATGAAGTTTTGAACAATAACCCAGAATCTAAACTATTGCTTGAGCTTGCGAAAGATTGCTGGCAAGTTGATTCTGGTCAGAGACCATCATCATCAGAAATTCTTCAGAGGGACGTTTTTAGGGGTAAGTCAAGAAGATGTCATTATCAGAATAGTGCGGTTTAAATGATAAAATCGTTGAACTGCACGATATAAATTTACTGTTTCAGTATATTAATATAATAGCTATGTTTCGAGCTCCGTTGAAATTGAATTGATTTTTTATTCATATTAAATATGTTAAACTTAAACATAATAAAGATGTCTAAAACCATCAGTCAAAATATCTCGAAAAAGTATCGACGAGTGCGCGGCTCCCCCTGTATCGTAGAAACTTTACTATAGTGAAACGACGATGGGGGGTCACGAGAAATCGTAACACTGTAATAAGGCCGGGCTATGACTCACAAGATACGAGCTTTTAAAAAATTGTTCTTGGTCCTCGACTTCACATAGCCATCTGCCATGTGTCTAAGCGTACTGCGCGCTACTGCAAGCGAGAGGGCTCTGGTTAGAGCAAGTCCTCGACTAAAGCCGTAAATGACTTAGTTACTGGGCTGCACGCCGTGCATCAAATAATGTTTTTCGCAACTACAAATTAGATCATCGTTAGATCGGTGCGATCCTTGTATCACGTCGTGACCCCCATCGTCGTTTCACTATATTGTAGAATTTCTACGATACAGGGGGAGCCGCGCACTCGTGCGCGGCGGGTCATACAACGTATGACAATGCGATCCAGCACTGGGCCGCACCTTACTCAGCCTTACCCAGCCTGTCATTCCACCGAATCTCTACTCGGTTAATGAACATAATAGCCTGAGCTGTCCCCAGGTAAGGCCGCGCCGAGCTGAATTGTCTAAAAATTAATATTTATGGCTCGCCTCTCTCACTCTCACAGGAAAAATAATTTCAATGCACGCCCCGTGGATTGCTCTAACCAGAGCCCCCTCGCTTGCAGTAGCTTGAAACAAGCGCGTCACGCAGTACGCGTAGACACATGGCTATGTGAACCCCGTGGAGGGAATAGCGCGTAGATATAGAGTAAAGCAGTTTGGAGCGCAGGTCAGTAGTGGGTTATAAGCAATACTAGGGGGTGCACGATAAAAATAAACTTGCTCGGATTTTAAAAATTTTTGTACCACTGTTTTCTAGAGACTGTGAGAATTGTCACAATACTAAATTTGTCATACCTTTTTGGAAAGATCAGTGAGTTTCGCCTAGGTGCCATATTTGATGGTGCGCGGCTTTTGGAGCAAAAGTAGCTGTAAAAGTCGCGTAATTTGACCAAATTCGTCCAAATTTGACCATTTTTGTCGTATTATTCGGATTTATCTTCAGTTCCTTAAATGGGATCATTCTAGAAATTGGCGACGACCTTCCAATAGGGCTTTTACAACTGTCCGAAAAATTTGGTGGATGTCGGAGTTGATATAGTGATCAAAATTGGGCAAAATACGCTGCTTTTAGCTGTAACATAATGTCTGATGGTTGGATATGCTTTAAATTTTTCGGACACTTTCCTTGTAAGTCTATGATAGTCTATGTAATAAGCGCCATGAGTTGGCACAGAATTTTTTGTCTCTGATTTTGATAAATTTGGTACCAAAAGTTGCCTCTACGTGTGAATAATGCAAATTCACCGTGTAGCAAAATAACGTCGAGCTATATGTGGGCCTCCTGTGCACTACAAGAATGTACAAAGGACGAAAAATGGGTAATTTATTGCTTAAAATGCCTCTAACTCCTAAAATATTGAATATTTTGAAATAATTCTTACAGTATCGTAATGAGCTTAGTCAGACGCAACTTTGGGTACCAAAATTATAATATTTGAAGCACCAAATTTTTCAAAAATTTGTTCAACATTTCACACAAGGGGGGACCCTTGTGACTGTGTTCAGATTGAAAAATTTTGAAAATAATTTTCCTTTAAATCTTAAAATATTAGTACTAAAAGTTGTGTCTTGATGAGCTGATTACGATGCCATAATAATTATGTGATAATAACTGAAAATGTGAAAGTTATAGGCCAAAAACTAAAAATTTGCGCGAAAAAAGCACGCGCGGCGAACAAGCGCCGTGTAGCATTTTTAGCGAAAATTGCTACACGGTGGATTTATTTTATTCTCATTTTTAGACAAATTTTGGTACCAAATTTATCGAAATCGGAGAAAAAAAGTTCTGTGCTCGCGCTTGGCGCTTATTACACTGACAATGAGTAAGCTTACCAATTTTTGTTGCAATTGGAGGTCGGGAAGGATACTCAATATCTATTTGTTTGAAGAAAATTGTGCTGGCCGAAATTAGCGCTAAAAAACCATCCTACAGTCGGCACGCGCGGCTCACTGTCGATGGCGCACTACCTAGCAATACACTTTTATCCAGCCTGCTAGTTCATTGCTTGCTACTCCAATCACTTATGCGAGAAGCTTTGCTACACGTTGTATACCTCTCGTGCACGCGAAGCTTTCACGCCGGCCGGCCGGCGAGAGACACACGCTACACGTTGTATTGACCATTGTTAATGATCTGGCCCGGCGCGCGCTACTTCGTAGCACTTGCCATCGGGCCAACATTTCGAGAAGAAAGCGGCGCGCGCTACTTCGAAGAAATTTAGACGAGTAAGATCCGTCAACACGTTGTATACCTCTCGTGCACGCGAAGCGTGCACGCTGGCCGGCCGGCGCTCTAAAGGGTTACAGCGTGTGTCAAGAGGAGCTCGAAAACAGCGCCGCGCATTGGGATTGTTTTGTAGCGCGATGTGTTACTGGGCCGCGCACTCGCCACTCAATTATGCTTCTCGCAACCACGCTAGATCGGCGAAATGCGCTACTGGGCCTCGCCGAGCTGCGACGTATTGACATCGTCAATTAAGGATTGATGTGCCAGGTAAAATAAATCAACAATAAACAAAATAGTTTAAAAAATTTGAGGCACATTTGTAATAATTTTTGCAATGTTTTTCAAACATTTTTAACAATCATAGACTGTGTATTTTTAAACAAATTCGTTTAATATAATTTGTAATTCCAGGCCGGCCATTGTAACGTATGTTGACAAATTATGGTATATTTGATTTTAATTATTTAATATTTTGTATTTTCAATGTGGTATTTGGCTAATAGTGTTATCAACAATCAAAATGACAAACAGACAAATGTTCGATCAATTTTATGTTAGCAACATCAAATCAGCCACTGTATACGAATTAATGAATAAGGAAACTAATATAGAACAATGTCAAATGAGTTGATGAGCAACTTAATTGACGATGTCAATTCATCTCAGCTCGGCGCGGCACAGTAGCGCATCTCGCCGATCGCTGTGAGAAGCCTCATTGAGTGCGCGGCGCGGCACAGTAACGCATCGCGCTACAAATGAGCAACTCAAGTATACAAAATTATTTTAAAAGAAAATTTGTTTCACTAATATTAACCTATGCACTTGTATCACGTCGTGACCCCCACGGTCGTTTCATTACTGGGCCGCGCTCAGCCTGTCATTCCGCCTAATCTCTATTCGGTGTTATCTCTATTATGTTTATGAACATGATAGCCTGAGGTCCCCAGGTAATCGTTTCACTGTATCTTACGATACAGGGGGAGCCGCACTCGTGCGCGGCGGGTCATACAACGTATGACAATTATGCACGCTGCCATACCATACATAATTAGAAAATACAATAGCCTTACGCCCAATATATCAGATGAGTAGGGCCTGTCAAAATATATTGATTAAAGCTTTTCTTCCTGAGAGAGTAATTTACCTTATTGGAAACTGGCCTACGAGTAGATGTTAAGAACTTTTGTGTTTGACTAATTGTAAGATAAACCTAGAGAGAGTTGTATCATGAAAATAGTTTATTGTGATCATCATCATTGAAAGTCCTAGATTTAGATCTAGAGTCCTAGATTTGTTTGTGTAAATTTTGTAGATATTTTGTTGTACTATTTTATATTGTATACAATTTTACGGACGAAATGATCCCAGGGGGGACTCTCAACCCACCGCTTCGGCGGGTAGTTGATGCACCGATCACAAGCAAGAGCCACTTTGGTCTACTTGCTGTGAGGTGTCTCAGCTACATGGGTTGGGGGTCCCCCCTGTTTTTCTTTTTTTTTCATCATCATTGAAAAGTGTCTGATAGGAAGTTGAGTTGAAGAAAATTATTATTTTGAGAGTAAGAGTGAGCACCATTATTATCTGTGGTTTCATGATTCATCCCTATCTAGCAAAGAAGAAGTTTATTCGTTTGAACTAGGGCCTTTGGGCCTAAGTGGGAACGTCTAATTTTATAACTATTTGATTTTTTAAGGTATTTTTAAATCAAGATATTATGTTAATAGTTAATAATAGTTAATAGTAATAGTTAATAGTACTATGTTTACAGTATGCACTGAAGGGGTATCTTAGGAATTTTCTTGAACCTTTAACAGGTACCCCTCCTCATTTAACCCTCAATTATGTATCATTGTGTTTTGATTTGATTCATGATTTATATGGTAATATTATCTTAACCATTTGGTTAAATGTACACTTTGTCATAAGTTTTAACCTCAAACTCTTTGTAATATTTTATATATTAACTCTTTTCCACTTAAAGGTTGGTTGCACAGAATGGTAAAGTTTGATGTGCGCCAATTACGTTACCTTTCTCGAGAAGAGTTCAGATGTCTAACTTCTCTGGAGATGGGGATGAAAAATCACGAAATTGTCCCCAGTGAGCTAATAGCGTCAATTGCAAATCTTCGTCATGGTGGCTGTTACAAAATCCTCAGAGACCTTGTTCAGTATAAATTGATCAGGTATGATCATAGGAATGGGATCAGAGGTTATCACCTAACCTATGCTGGATATGATTATCTTGCACTACGGTCATTCAGCAATCAGAATGTTGTCCATTCAATTGGAAATAAGATAGGTGTTGGAAAGGAGTCTGATATTTACATTGCTGCATCTGAGGATTGGACCCAGTATGTGTTGAAACTGCATAGACTTGGCAGAATTTGCTTCAGAAAGGTTAAAGAAAAACGAGATTACCTTAAAAGAAGGAAAAATGCTTCTTGGTTGTATTTATCCAGGCTAGCAGCTGAAAGAGAGTATTCATTTCTCAAAGCACTGTTTGAGAGAGGGTATCCTGTTCCTGAACCCCTGTCATGGAACAGACATGCTATTGTCATGAAACTTGTCCCAGGATATCCACTGTCTCAAGTCAATAAAATTGCTAACCCAGCCAAGGTAAGTTGTTTAATAATTTGTTTCTCAGATGAGAAGTTCTTAAATTGAAGATTTAATAATTATTAATCGTACGGGTATCGGCCTTACAAAATGACACGAAAAAGGAGATGGCTCTGAAATGCACAAAAATGAGTTTTGTTCATGTTTTATTATCCAGATGGGTAGTTCAACAGGTATATTTTTCTTCCCGGGGGTTGATTTGATTGAAAAACCGTAAATTTTGTGATAAAAATTGTCATCTTTGAAATCTTCCAAAAAAACATGCCTTACAAAATGACAATTTCGTCACGGCTGTCATTTTTTAACAGCAGCCTATAGAAATTTGATTTCACCTAGGACAGTTAGATAAATATAATAGATTGAAGATTAGAATAGCTTTTACAGGAAAAAGGATGATTAAAAAAAGTTGGGCAATTTCGCGTGAGATAGTGCCTTACAAAATGACAACCCAAAACGGCATCACTTCCGATTTGGGAAAAAGTTTCATTATTCTTTCACGTGTCTTACTGTTAGATATATATTTTGTTTATATTATACCAGTTCTGTTTTTACCAAAATATATTTAAAAAGGAACATTTTTTATACTTTGAAAAAATTTAAAAAATGTCATTTTGTGAGGCGTAAAAATCATTTTTTGTTTTCATACTTGAACACAGTATTTGGTTATATTTGATATTTTCTATGACTGGATAGATCACTTTTCAGTGTTTAGTTAACGTTTGACATGTTTTAGGAGTTGTTATTACTCTCTGCTTTCACAAAATAGAAGCTTTATTTCGTTGAGTTTTGAAATCAGAGTTTGAAATCAAAGAGTTTGAAATCAAAGTTTTGATACCAGAACTGCACTTTTTTAATGCTACTTGATTGTTAACTGTCAGATTATGATTATTTGTAACTCCTTCTTGTATTGACTGTCTCTGATCCATTTTAGATGATGAAAATAATTCAATCTGAAACATTGTCATTTTGTAAGGCTTTTCGGTGTCATTTTGTGAGGCATTTTGATCAAAATTGATGATCAAACAAACACATTAAGGCTCATCATGAGCTTACTGGGTTTAAGAATACCAATAATTAGGCAAGGGGCATCCAATATAAATATGCCATCTTTGTATCATAAAATAAAATTGTCATTTTGTGAGGCATAACACTGTCATTTTGTGAGGCTAGCTCATTTTTTTGTCAATTCTTCTACCAAAGTCACTAAATCAGTTTTTTTATTTGACCAGAGTAGTCTTTGATTGACATAAGTCATGGTAGTACCTGGTTTTCTGGGGTTAAATTCAAAACTTTGGTCTCCATTCTGGGTAACAGTTAGGCGGGGCAATGACTGAACAGCAAAAACGTCCATATTTATGTAAGAAATATAGATTCTATGTCATTATCATTCCTTGGGAAGTGTTAATTAATGCTTTTTCTTTCATACAGTAAAAGGAATAGGGTTCAATGTATAGGGAACCTAAGCTACAGCATGGTCTATGTGGGCTGTCATTTTGTGAGGCCTGTCATTTTGTAAGGCCGATACCCGTAAGGTCTATGTGAAATTTATTCAATGTAGTCACGTAACAATCATGCTTTAAAACTCTAAAATTTTGATGTTTGAACAACCCCACTACAAATTTTGTGAATTTCTCATAAATTAATCAAAATCATTATCAATCAAATTATAACAATGTCAATGATCAAACTTTTCTTTTTAATATGTTAATATTATTCAATAATACCAGGTGTATACAAAGCTGATGCAACTCATTGTGAGACTTGCACAGATGGGATTGATACATGGTGACTTCAACGAGTTCAACATCATGATCAATGACAAAGAAAAAATCACTGTTATTGATTTACCACAAGTCTGTCTATAATTCAATGTCTTCTTTCCTGCCATATTATTTTGACACAGCATACTGTTTACAAAATATCGTATGATACAAGCATTATTAGGACCTTTTTAATGATGAATTATGTTATTAATCAGATTGTAAATTAATTTGTCACCCTTCAGATGATATCAACATCGCATGAGAATGCTGAGTACTACTTTGATCGGGATGTAGAGTGTGTTAGAACGTGGTTTAAGAAAAGATATAATTTTGACTCTGATGACAGACCATACCTTTCTGACGTTAGTTGAACTTATATCTATCTTTAAATATCTGTCTTTATATCGGTGTTTATATCTGTGTTTCTTCTCTATTTCTTGTATGATATTATATCTGTTATGAATTAGGAGGATTACTGTTGATCTAGATTGCAAAAAAAGCTGAACATCTTAAAATATCATCAGATGATGTGTGAGACTCCAGTTGATGTTGAAATGAAGGCCAGTGGTTACACCAGAGACATCAAAGATGACTTTGAGAAATTAACTCTCAACAAACCTGAAGATGTAAGTTATTAGCAGACAAATGCAAACCAGGCAGAACCCAAATAAGTCATTATGTTTTATTGCCATAAATATTTTATGTTGAAAATCTTGCAATGTTCTAAGGTTTGCTTGAAGTCTAGAATCTTGCATTATTCTGTAAACTTTAATCCATCCACAGGATTTGTGGGATGGTGATGATTTATCGGAAGATGACGAGGAGGAAAGTTCAGAGGAAGAAAGTGGAGGCGAGGGAAGTGGTGAATTAGGAGAAGAAGAAGAAGAAGAGGACGAGTCTAACATATCAGAGACTGAAGAGGGAGATGTGAAGGAAAAGTGTGTGTCGGAAGAGTCGAGTGATGAAGAAGAGAAGGATGAAGATGATGAAAGCGATGATGAGATCAACAACAAGTCGTATCTACCTTACAGAGATAAAGAAGAAATTAAGGAAGAAAAGGAGGGTCAGAAGAAATCTGCTCACCAGTTTACCGTCTATCAAAAAACCAATGTAAGTCATCGTCTTAAGAGCATCATTCTGCAACTTGGGTTCAAATTTTACTCAATTTATCTTTCCTTATGTTTACCGACGTTGCAGTGCATTTTCAATTATGATTTTAAAGTGAAATATTTCAGTTATCTAAAGATGATATCAAGAAGAAGGTTCGTGCGAATGAAACGAAGAAGCGATTGAAACAGAACCGAATTAAGAAGGGTGAAAAGTACTATATCAACAGAGAAAAACGTGCTGTAACAAATGAAATCAAAGGAGCCGATTCGTGGTTTTAGACTTTGGATATCAATTGAACATTTTATCTGGACTGAGTTTTTTTAAATGGGCTGTTAACCAAGATGTCACTGACACTCTGCCATTTATTAATACTTTTATTGGAAGTTGAATATTGAGCGATGGAGTTTATGTAGTGTTGACTAATTTATTGTTCCCTTTTAACCAAATTCTATCCGTTTTATTTTGATCGGGAACTGAAATTAATATCATGTCAAATGTCTTTTGAGGACCTATCAAATTATCCGTGCATGAAAACTTGAAATGACAACTATCAACCAGATTAGCTTAATAGTTAAATGCCTGATTGTCAATTAAACAAAACTCTCTCTCTCTAATCGTTCATACATGAAATATGCAAACTCAAAAATAGTTAGTACAGGGATGTATGCGACTGTGTGAACCAGGGAGCGAATTTCTTTAACTTCACGAGCGACCACATGATTATGATAAACTGAAACACGAAGGTGTTCAAGTACTGTTGGAGCTTTAATATGACAATCGGACCGAAGACTGTGAAGAAGAGGCAACAGTGAGTTTTTGTTCAAATTTATATTCTCTGATTTTTTCGCGGTTTTTTAATATCTTTAATGAAATGGTTGATGATAAACTCGTCAATTTCCCCGAATAGCCGAATGCGGAAATTTTATCAGTATCAAGGAGTTTCAATTTTGAATATAATTCCCAAGATATCACCAAATAAGTGCTATCCGTGTAAATTTTTAGATCTGGTTTATTTGACACAATAAATGAGGACTTGTTATAAATTAGATTGCATCAAATTACTAAATAGATTAGAAGATGCCCATCGCCGTGCTTATCAATCAGCAATTCCGTGATAGTCACCTCATTCTGCTCCAAACCAAACTGCGCTATATTTTCTGAGAGCACCAGCAAACTGCGGGTAATCAAATTGCTGTGACCAGGAAAAGGCAAGCAACTTGCTCTAACTTGTAATGCATAATGTGGCGAATCGTCTACCCCACTTTCCACCGTTCTCTTATATTATAGTCACTTTTTTAACCTCTGCTGTATATAACGCTGTGATCTTCTCGCTCAATGAGGTAATATCGGTGTTTAGTATATCATTATCATGAGTAATATAAGTGTAGGGTTATAGAGACACTCGCAACACGCTCTCAGCTCCTCTACACAGCTGCGGAGCAGTAATTGTCCGTGGTTAGGTTCCTGTTTCTGATGTGCCATATAGGATAGATAGTGTGCAAAATACTATGATGTTTGTGATTATATGTATACGTATATAGATTTCCAGATGTGAACTTACAGGTCACCCATGTCCCGTTTTCCTGCAGTGGATGTAAGGGGAGAGCACCAACCGCTGCCTTATCCCAAGGGTGGTAGATTACGTAGACCGCGAATATCATCTTATGAATCTGTATCTCTAGGACTGGGGGTGATACCGAACATATTGTTTATCAGCAGATAACTTGTTAGAGAGATTGAAGGAATTTGTTGCTCCGCGAGGACTAAGTGTTCCTTGGGTAGGATACAGGGTATCACACTACAGTCTACAAGGTGAGTCTGGCTCGGTGCTGAAAGAAATTTGCGCCTCAAGATCGTGGTTGATGAAAGTGGGGGCTAGTTTCTCTCCTGGCACTGCTAGTACGCGAGACGACGTCTTTACCTGCAGAGACTATCGGCCAGACGTAGCGATTACTATCTACCTACCCAACGTACCTATAAACCGGAGGAAAATGCATTAGTTGCTCTCCGCGATTCTCTAATGAATTCTTGCTTGTTCTTTTATTCTTCATCACTCGAGTTTTAGAATTGACGTACGCAAATTAGTCTGTGTCTAGTATTGATTAGATATTGGTATTGGTCACGAGAGTCCGTTAGGTTGCTTAGTATGTCAGACATCGCCGTGGCGCTCGCAGTGATCCAAAACGACCTGTAGCCGGTCGTTTTCGGTAACTTGTTAGTAGGAACGTCACCGTTTTGTCGTAAGTAGAAGGCATTATGTCTCTGCACTCTGAAGAAGTAACCACGCTCGTATGAAGACCACGACTCAGGGTAGAAGTGGGTTGGATTGGATACCGCTGGAGTTTAAGGAGAATATGTTTTGCGCACGGACTGTGTCATTTGGTGTTATTGGAAGACTGATGATGTTGACTGTGTTATTCCAGAGAAATTGACAGTCTTTCGTGATTTTTTAGGCTTAGTACGGTTCGCTTGTGAACAGGGAGGTTGTGAGGTGTAGTTTTGCTTTATGCCAGTAAAGCCTTGTGCTGTTTGGTTGTGAGATCCGTTTCTCGATGATTGCTCAACGCTATGACCAACACTTTATGTGAGCTTTAGACTATTCATTCTGTGTTCTTGTCGGGAGGCGCAGAAATAGTTAATCAAGATTTGTTAGGAGGACACGATTTTTAAACTCGCTTGTGTTAATTAGTGTCGCTTTTAAGATAGTTCAGTTATTGCGGAGAACCATTTGGATTAGGGATTTCGTGGCCAATGGAGGAGACATGGTAGGGCAATTTTAAGGAAACTATCTTTTTTGACTCACGCTACACATAGTCGACTTTTACGGTTTGTGGTACCAGGTCGAAGTGTGCTTGTCCGTATCTAGTTTTGTGTCAAGGACTCTTGACCATCCGCTCACAACCATCAGCCCAGAAATAAGAGTTATGCTACCTCAATACGGGAGATCTACTTGTTGTATGCATATCAATATCAAAAGAAAATCATATTTGTTGAGCTTAGCCCCTGACCATTGTTCTTTCGTCTCTTTGGCACGTTAATTGTGCACAGGCGCTTTAATCGAGCGTGACACGCTCGCCACTTATGATAGTAAAAACGAAACTCCGGTTCAAGACAAATACTATTCAGTTAAGTAAAAAAGATTTCCCCCGGCTAGGACAACCATCGCACCCATGGGGGTGCGATCATACTCGATCCGTTTATCGAAGAGACGCTCGCACGCAAATCTCAGTGCATTTGGAGTAGTTACAGTAGTGTCTTAGCTCTAAGCTCTTTCGAAAGTCTGATGAGTGAATTTCGTGATTAAATATTCCAGCTATGTTTTATATTGTTGGTGCATAGCTAGATAACTCATGTGCGCGTTACCGACAGAGTGTTATCTCTCAAGATAATGTTTAGGAGCAAAAGCAGATTGGATAATCAAACTGTTAAATCTTTTTTTACGCTATGTAAATTATGGACGTACTTTATAGTGCTCTGAGTTTATCTACACAGCTCCTACAGGTGTTTAGTATACTTCTAATAAATTGTCTTAGAATACAAAATGTTAGACTCATTTCCTCTAATTGTGCAAAGTCTCCTTGTATGTGAGAATAATTCTAGGTCCCTCGAGATATTGATTAATTCAAGAGCTATTGGTTCTTGCTGTTCTAGTGGAAGGGTGTTGAGGAAATAATCTTTTGTTTGGAGGGGTTTGCTACTCTATTTCTGGCTCCTTATCTGGACGCTCAAAAATTTCATTACGAGTAATCCAACTGGAACATTAAGATATGCTAACATGTGAGGGTGAATCCTCGCTCTGCCGATGTTAGCATGCGAAGCGCAGACGCAGCAGATTAACTGCCTATTTGCTCTGTAGCGCGTCACAATGCAGAACTGGTTCGAATCTCTCGCCTGACGCGCGCTCTCAGAATCGAGTCGAAGATCTCTAGCCTGACGCTCAGAGAGATAATGATGGGTGACTTCACTATCAACTTCTTGCCGAGCAGTCTCAGTTGGTCTCGTTCGCAGCTCTCTTTTGGTTAGGTGATTAGGTTCGAGCCCATCTCGGTGATTGATATACCTCTTCTGAAGATAATACTGATAGTGTGCCTCGGCGGAATGTAGCACTCGCGTCTCATTATTGGGGTGAAGATCTCTCGCCATGCATTTCGAGGGTGTTTTTGGTGGCTTTTGTCAGAGTGTTCGTGGGGGGTGTAATCATCTGCATTTCGCGTACGGTAGTTGCAGATAGTGTTCGAGGTGGGCTCGTTCTATAATGTGGCCGCAATTGTGTTTTTATCCTCGCGGACCTCAGATTTGATAGTGTTGATAATGACCATACGATAGACGTACGGCACCAGCGTGCGAATTATCCTCTCATTTAGTTTGACAACTCTTCAGCAGATGAGTCTCATGATAGCATTACAATGACCTCCTTCCCTCATTGAAAAATGAAAAACTGTATACTGTGGGACTGCGTGTCACATCTGGAGAAACTCGTGAACAAACTAGTAATATGACGTTTTAAGTAGCGCCCTCAAATGAGCATTTACTATTTTACTGATCGCGCAGTGTGAGTCGTTTCTGGTGCATCATTCACAATTTGCATGTGATTTCTCAGATAATAATGTGGATTAAGGAGGCAAAGTATATCTGTATCCTCATGCTTTCTACCTCAACATCTAACGTACGCACAGATTATAGACGAGAGGAAATTAGTTTAATGCTTTACTAGACTAGACAGTAGGTGATCAAGTCACTTCAACAGTACTGCATATACATGGTAGACTTCAATCATTAGTGTTCGGTAAAAGCAGAAGAGGTATTCGAACAAGAAGCTTTATACAGTAATCCTTGATTGTTTCTCGTTGAGTTGCTCAATGAATCACGTTTTCATCGGAACACTTCCGTTCACCCACAGTAAGTACTTTTACATAGTATTCTCAGAGCTGGGTATTGCTTGATTACTTCCACGCTGTTTGCTCCTATGATCTTTTGTCTGATCGGGGCAAAGCATTAAACACAACAATTCACTTTCCGCTGTTCGGTATTTCGGACTAGCTTAACCGGCTGATCCACTTAGCACACTATGTCGACTCGTATGTTCTCTCAAGCTCTCCTGCTGGGCTAACGAGAGGTAAATTGAGTAGAGTAGCCTATCCACCATCCATAAATATTAATGCGCGTGGTTGGGTTTGCGTGTACTAAATCGTCACCACGTAGCAATCATAACCACAATGACTTTCTTGAGCGGGATATGCCCCCTAAGGGGATACTGCTCCATCGGTATTGCCCCTTTGTACATTCCATAGGCTCATCCTGCCTTTAATAACATCGACTCATCGGCTTTGCTTCGGTGAAGATTCATTATTTGGAAGTCTTTGCCTCCTCGCTAGTGTAGGACTAATCCGGCTCAGAATGCGCCGACACAGCACCTGCGTCAGAGGTCTCCAACGTACTCTCTCCT